ATTTTCCCTTGAAGTAAAAAGACTAAAATCTTTTTATTTTTATTAAGTTTTATTATATACACATCACGAAAGTTGTAGTAATAAAAATATAATTAAAATAAAAAATATAGTTATTAACGGAATTAATATGAAACATATTTAATTATACATAACAAAAAGAGTTTTCGAGCAACATTTAACAATTTCTCTAATTAAAAATTATTCAATATTACAGTATTTTCATAAAACGCAACAGGGAAATTAATAAAATTATACTTATTTTATTAATTTAAAAACCATAACGATCTTTTAATTTTGCATTATATCAAATACATATTTTTCTTTATTGTTTTTAAATACCTTGATTCTTTTCCTTCTGTATATAATCTTGTGCGTATAAAATACTACAATGATGTTATTTGGTACTAAGATTATTGCATATAAATAGTTACCAATATTTTATAACCAGCTGTAATTATATATAGAAAAAAAATATTTAAAAAGTAAATAGATAATTTATAAATTGAACTTTTTTTTTTTCATTTTTTATAAATTATTTCACAAAATCAGAATACATTAATATTTTTCTAAATAATATCAATTTTTGGCTAAGACTTTCTCTCTTTTATGATTTTTATTTTTTATTGGGAATAAGACAGATTATACCAGTGTTGTTAAACTTGGAAAGATCATTAACTTGATTAGGGTATTGGATCAATGGTTATCTCTTCATTTTGTTGAAGACATTGGGTGAATAGTCACCAAGAGATTTGAATCTGTGTAACGAAGATACTATAATTAAATCCACAATTAAAGTGTAATAAAAAAATAAGGAACGAACTCATAGGATATATGAAAGAGATGTCAATATGTAGATAAATTCGAACCCAACAGATGTTGTCTCCTTAAGACAATTTGTTCCCTCTATTGATGCCGAAGGTTGATGAATAATTATCTCTCAGGATATAATGGATTGACGTCTTCAGAACGATGACACTACTGATCAGATGCCCGAACGAACACAACTGAATGTCTGAGGAATCACACTATCTCATACTATGGTATGGATGCACAATTCATAGACAAAGCTTAACTAAAATTATGACTCCATATATTTATAAAAAATATAAGGTCACTATTCAAAAGGCACATTTTCGTCGACGAAACAACACATCCGTTCGACACAAAAAGACACATCTGATCGACATGAAAAGACACATTCTTTCGACATGAAAAGACACATCAATTTGACATGAAAAAACATATCCATTCGACGACGAAAAGACACCTTTTCATATCAAACTTCTTATTTATAACCCATGGGATGTAGACCCAAAAATCCAACAATCCCCACATAGATAAGAAGTCAATTCATCGTGACTAAATGCATATGAACACGAATGCCAAAATGTGATTCCTTAACGAGAAACAATTGCATCGAGATAGGTAGAGTTACCTTTGAACCTTCTCTAGTAAAACCTATTGGATATACTCGGTCAATAGGTGGTCTGGGCGACTTGAACCGTCGACCTTTAGTGTATATCTAGACAATAAGAATCACACAATTGCTTCTCTAACATTGTTGGTCCTCATTGTTGTGCCCATTTTGGCCTTGGGATACTTGCCTGGTTCTATGAATGTTCTAGAGATTTGGCCTTTATAAATTCTCATAGAAGTGGCCCTCACTTCACACTAACATAGGTGATTCCTTGTGATGTAACTTAACATACATCATCTGAACACATCAAATTGAGAAACCTTTAAAAGCATAAATGCTTACCTCATATACATTGTTTTGTCATAGGAATGAGTATGAGTTTAGAAACTCCATAGTGTTAACAGTCGATCATCACTTAGTTATCTCTATGTGCCTAGTACGTGGGATCTCCACTCATCAAGGTAGAGTTACTGCAATAATCAATAATTGATAGGCCTTAAACCCATTCCTTTTGACAAATTTCCCTTTAACTCTCTAGTCAAACCTTTAGTTAACGGATCCGTAATAATACCACTATAGAGTAATTGCCTCACGGGGTCACGTCTCTTATCTATATCGAGACTTACCATCATACATAATATTCCTTGCCCTTCTGATCACTGCCTGACTATCAAAGTGTATGCATATTGCAGGCACTGACTTCAGCCAGTTCAAAATATCCTCAAGGAAGTTTCATAGCACTTGGCTACCCCACTAACTCTATCTGAGTCAATAAATTTTACTTTATGGTCGACCTTGTAATACATGTTTGCTTGGATGAATTCCAAGACACAACACCCCCACCAAGTGCGTACACATACCCACTTATGGCTTGGTGTCACTAGAGTCGGTGATTTAATTTGCATCATAATTGATACGCACCATTATTATTTATATATCCAATGAACACAAAGACCATTGTCTTTGGTCCAATTTAACCCTTTTTGATTTCGAAATCGCATCCTTTGCCAAACACTCCACACTCTAAGATAATTCAAGGTAGGCTTCCTACCTTTTCACATTTCGTTGGGGATATTCATAGTTTTCTTGTGGGGTACTCTATTGATTATATTGTTTGTCATTAAAATGACTTCCACCCATAAACCAGATGTCAACAACATCATTTCATTTAATGTCTGGTTTTTTCATTTAATATCTGGTTTTTTCTCTCCCAGCAATCTTGTTGGATTGTATTGCTTAAGGAGCCATCGTCGTTTGGTGTAAAGTTCCAAACTCTAAACAAAGTTCCTCGAAAAGTCATCATAAACTCTCCCTCGATCGCTCCTTAATACCTTTAACTTTTAATTTAACTTCGACTATAACACATATTTCAAATAACAAATTCCAATTTAACCATAAAATGATTCACAAATTGTCACATCATTTATAATATTTCAAAGTCATCACATTGACTTTGATCATGTCATCACTATGATAGCCTTTTTGAATTCATATAATATTAAATATTTCACTGGATATAAAACTCTCATATCCATTATTACCACATATTGCATTTAATTCTATGCAATACTCAATTAATTTTCAAATTTTATTCACACCTCAATAAATGCAATTAGTCACAAAGTATTCATATACATAAACCACAAATTAATGACATTCAATGCCATCAAATTCACTAAGCAGTAAGCACAGTGTATACCATTAAATGACATCAAATTCCACCACAATAATGATAATAAATGCATTCGAGGCTGCCTTCACTTTAACGGGTAATTAAATGGAAGTTCTAAATACAAATCATGATGCACCATTGCGTCGGTTCATGCAAAACAGCTAAATCATGATGCACCATTGCATCGGTTCATAAAAAAAATATCTCAGTCACAGTTATAATAGTTAATTTGTAACCACAAAACATTAATTGGTTCAAATGCCATTCAGACAAAATGTCACGAGGTCAATGCATTTCCATTTAAAACATTAATCATGTGAGGCATTTAAATGCATGATAAAAAGACAAATTTAAATACCATGAGGAACAGTTCCATAACCATCGCCAATATCAGGAACACGATCAATGCAATATATACATTCACACAGGATGCAATCGTTCAATCCCAGTATTTAAACGATGCATAATCGCCTAACAATCAAAACTTAAAGATTAAAAAACACTTTTATCATGCTTTTGATGTCATCCCTGCTCAAGGCATACAACTATGGTATTAGCAATTCATAACTCTATAACCTACCTTATAGTCAATAGCTAAGGCGGAGACGCCTAGTTCTAATTACACCATTAAGATATAGTTCACAAATAGACATCTCGCACACGAGATAGCTTATAGGAACCGCTTTTATCCACCAATGAGGTTACACCATTAAGATATAGTTCACAAATAGACATTTCGCACACATGATAGCTTATAGGAGCCACTTTTATCCACCGATGAGGTTAATTGTGCCATACTAAAGCGGCTAAACAAAATAATCAACTATTATATAACAAAAACTTAAAGTCCATGTATCATTATATTTTCTATCATTACCGAAGTTCATTGATCAAGTACTCACTTGAGCATCAAAGTGTCTTATGAATAGTACATATTTACATAGATATCTCTTTACCACATCCATTCTTGATCCAAATTGCTACCGGATCAAGTTCAACTCTATGTAATTTAACTAGAGGGACATTTGTTTCTCTTTGTTTTGAGATACCTAGATTATTTATTGTATAGAATTTTGTGTATATAAAATAAAATAAATGACTTTTTTTATATAATAATAAGAATTGAACACATAATTTAATACAAATTACTCAAATTTCTTATAACTAAACCAAATCTAATTGCTTAAAACAATGGGAAAATGATTTCTATATTTATTGTATAAATCATTTTTCTATAATAAAACAGCAGAGGTCCATCGTATTTATTATTTCTCTATTTTTATTAGTTTATCTCTCTTTTTTGTATGAAAGATAGATCTGGATCCTCTCATGTGAAAATTCACATGACCATGTCATGTGTAGAATTATAACTATACAAAAGTGGATCAATGATAATAAAGGAAGAGAGAGAAAAAATGTTAAAATAAGTAGTTACAAAATCATAACCGTTGATTTACATTTGTATGATTGTAATCTTCTCAGATAACCATATCAAATATTTTTACACATGATAAAATCTATTTGCATAAAAGATAGAGAAAATAATTTCTCCAGTAAATGCAGGAATCATTTCCCCTGAAATAAATGACCTTTAATTAGCACCAACTTTTTTTTTTTTTTTTTGATAACAATTAGCAACAACTTTAAGTAGACGAAAAATAAAACTTTATGACTAGCTTAGCTAAAACGCATAAACCCAATTAATGACTAGATTCGAGGGCCGTTTTGGGCAAATATTCCGTCCACATTTACAACGTACAAAAAAGTTAAAAATAAAAACGAAATAAAATTTCAACGGAAGAACTATGATAAATAGGGAGGAGAGTGAGTGTCGTTTCCTTCATTCATTTCCGAAACTCCCAACCAATCTTTCTCTCTTTTTCTCTGTCTCTCATTCCCATCCATCCTCACATGGCTGACTTGCTAAACGACACAAACGACATCGTCGTTGAGACCAACAGCGACGCAGCAAAGAAGTTAACCCCATGGAGCGCCGATATGGACCCGGCCGCCGCATTGGCCAGCGCGCGCCACGAGTTCGGCGAGCACGGCGGCGTTAACATGTCAATCGAAGCCTCCGCCACATTCACCGTCATGGAACCGGAAACCCTCCGCCGCATGTTCGCCGGAGAACTCGGTCCCGAACGCGACTTCTTCATCTACAGCCGTCACTTCAACCCAACCGTCCTCAACCTCAGCCGTCAGATGGCGGCGCTCGAAGGCACCGAGGCCGCGTACTGCACCGCGAGCGGCATGTCCGCCATCTCCTCCGTCCTGATGCAACTTTGCAGCAGCGGCGATCACGTGGTCGCTTCCTCTGCCCTTTACGGTGGGACCCACGCGCTTCTCTCGGGTTTCTTTCCCAGGGCGTGCAACATAACAACCACTTTCGTTGATATCTTGGATTTGGAGACCGTTGAGGATGCAATCGTGGAAGGGAAGACCAAAGTGTTGTACTTTGAGTCCATAGCGAATCCGAGCCTGAAGGTTGCTAACATACCCGAGCTGTGCAGGGTGGGTCACAAAAAGGGAGTGACTGTGATTGTGGATAACACGTTTGCTCCTATGGTTATTTCCCCTTCTCGTCTTGGAGCAGACGTCGTCGTTCACAGTATCTCCAAATTTGTCAGTGGTGGTGCTGACATCATTGCAGGTTTTTTTTTTTCTGCTTCTTTTTCAAAATACTTTTCCTGTTTCGCATTTATTGGTTACCCTGCAGTTATATATAAACGACTGACATCCATGTCAAATGTCAAATTCTAACAGTATTTCTATCAATTAAAAATTATTATTTGTTGAGAATTAATAATTAATTAATAAGATTATATTTATTTATTTTCGTTTATAATTTCTTACAACACCATTGATATAGATTAACGAAAATTAACGATTAAAATTTTTATAAATCAATTGTTAGAAAAAATTATATGTAGGACTCATGTCAGCACGGAAATCGAAGGAAGTCATTCTAAGAGAAAAATAGACACAAGGAGAGAAATAGATACAAAAAATATAAATAGTGGATTTTTTTTTTTTAATTTAAATTTTAAATAAAAAATATTTTTTTATGTCTATATCATAACTTTATCTCATTTAAAAAATGAGAAATACTTTTCTCATAAATATTATCTTTTAGTAGGCCAGTGGGAGAGGGACCAAAATGCCACGCTTTGACAAAAAAATTACCAGAATGCCACGCAAACAGTAAAATTTTTCAAACTGCCACGCAGCATAATTCGCTACACAGGGTAGCGAATTTTGCAAAATTTGACATGTGACATTTTTGGTTCTGACGTGGCATATTTCTTCGCTACACTGTAGCGAATTACTGTAGCGGGCGAATTATGCCGCGTGGCATTTTAGCAAAATTTACTGCAGTCTGGTAATTTTTTTGTCCAAACGTGACAAAATAGTCACTCTCCCGTGGAGCCGCGATTGCCCCTTAGATAATATAAAATAAGTACCATCATTCTTCGTCATTATTATTTATCATGTGCTGGGGTAGGATTCCCTTCTCAAAACATTACTTGGCTCCACCATTAATAATAGCTATAATTATTATTTATTTTCTTTATCGTTGTTATTTGTCTTCCTAAGTACCATGCAAAATCATGACATTGCTTTTTCAAAATTCAATTGATAATTGACAGGGGCTGTGTGCGGGTCTGCGAGCCTAGTGAATTCGATGATGAGCCTCCAGCAAGGGCCCCTTATGCTGTTGGGTCCAACTATGAATGCCAAGGTGGCATTTGAACTCTCAGAGAGAATCCCTCACTTGAGTCTTCGGATGAAGGAACATTGCCACCGTGCATTTGTGTTTGCCACCAGGCTCAAGAAATTAGGACTCAAGGTTATATACCCTGGCCTTGAAGATCACCCACAACATGAATTGTTGAAAGCCATAGCCAACAAGGATTATGGGTATGGTGGGCTTCTTTGCATTGACATGGAAACAGAGGAGAGGGCTAATAATTTGATGCACCAATTGCAGAACTATGTTCAATTTGGTTTCATGGCTGTTAGTTTGGGCTATTATGAGACCCTCATGTCATGCTCTGGTAGTAGCACTAGCAGTGAGATGAATGAGGAGGAACAGAAGCTTGCTGGAATCTCACCTGGCCTTGTAAGGATGTCCATTGGTTATATCGGGACATTGGAGCAGAAGTGGACTCAGCTGGAAAAGGCATTGGCTAGATTTCATCATGAATATGGGTTCTCCCACAAGAATTGAGTCAATTGAGTCACTTGGGTTTAATTTTAGTCTATTTACGGTTTTTATGTACTTTATTTTGTGGGGTACTTAAAAGGGACTTGGAAGAAATACGTGTTGCAAGCCTCCTTAGTCCAATAAAGTTCTAGTTTTTGGTTTACTTTATACCTTTCTAGATTTTGGTATTCTGGTTATACAGTATTATTTTATGTAGTTTTTGAATTTCGAAGAAAATAAACCGGCTAGAAAAGGAGTAAAATCAGAAAATCAAATAAAAACCAGGAATTGGGAATCTGAGAAGATTGACTGATGTTGGTATCTGGGGTTTTAGAATATTGTAAAGATAAAATTGCCCTTCTTTTGTTTGATAGTGTGGTGAGGATTTGAAAACTTCCACGAAAAGGGAAACTGGGAAAATCATTCATCTAGGGGAACAACCTAGATCCCATAACTTTGCCTCGGTTTAGCCAAGTTAAGCTCATGCACTCTCACAAACTAGGTAGGTATGGGATTGTGTTGGTATGGTTCAACAAAAAATTCTACCGATATAACTCTTAATAAATTTGATACTTTGGATACCTTCCCACTCTTACCATTACATGAAAAGTGGTGGTCAGGTCCCCACAAATTCAAACTCTTTGCATAATCTTAAATCCAGTTTGTATCTTACGTTAAGCTGTTAGCTGATTATCTTTTTTTTTTTTTTAGATAAAAGTGGAGGGCCTAGCCAAGATAAATTAAATTGAAAGCTGATGCATGTCAAAAGAAACATGCTCCATCAGCAAGAAATTACAAAAATCATTCCAAAATGGAAAAACACTTGCAGGGGGAGAGGAATATACATTCAACTCACCACCCCTACCTTTCAAACCTAAAATGGCCAAACCATCAGCACAAGAGTTATTTTCTCTAGGAATATACTCAAAGGAAGCATACTCTAAGGACTGTAAAGAGTTCCTAATTTTCCTAACTAGCAAGGAATTGCCATCTGATTCAGAAGAGGAATTGATACATAATAAAGCTTCTTGGCTATCACAACCAACCCATACCTCCTGGATTTTCAAACCCATTGCAAGCTGAAGCCCCTGCCATATTCCCCATAACTCAGCTTCAAGGCTGGTACATATACCAATATTGAGAGAGAAACCAGAAATCCACTCACCCTTTGAATTACATAGGAATCCTCCACAAGCTCCTGTTTTGGTATTCAATGAAACAGCTCCATCAACTACAATTTTGACAGCTTCCTTCTGCATACTATTGCCACATCCAATAAAAGAAATAGGTTACTTATGTGCCTGAGAAAAGGGTTCACTGCTACAGCTCTTTTTCATATCTTTTAGAAAGTTTAGAATCTTACTCATTGGATCTTCAGGCCAAGAAAAAGTATCATCATGAACCAACAGATTTCTCCATCGCCATAAGAGCCAACAAGTGACAAAGAAAATTTCATACCAGGAATGCCAAAATCTAGATGAGAAGGACTTACAAATATTGGCCCGAAACCAGTCTAGTCCATCTGCTGTCATGAAACTATCTGGAATTGCACCTCCAAACCAGCTCTCCCACACAAACTTTGCTCTATTTTAATCCCTAAGAACATGCATAATTGTCTCATGATTGTCATAGCAACTGGGACAGTAAGTCACACCACCACTCCATAAACCAGTAATACTTCTCACGGGGAGTTTATTCAAGCAAGCTAGCCATAAGCAGGTTGCAATTCTGTATGGCCCTTTCCATTTCCAAATCATAGACCATAGTTTGTCCTTCCCCACAATAGGATCTGTCAGCTGGCAATATGCATTAAGGACCATAGATCTAGATGAGCTATTTCTGATCCAACAAAGTCTGTCATTCGGGCCAGAAGGAGAAGGAGGCAGAATTCCTTGCAACTTCCCAATAGTGCTATCATCAAGATATTTCTTCAAATAATCCCACTTCCAGCCACCTATTTCATTCTCAACAAGGTCACAAATCTTAAGATCCAAATCAGAACTAGGGGGTTTAACACATGCCAAATCAAAGAGACTAATGTTTCCTCCACTCCAACAATCAATCCAAAAGAGTGTAGTGATTCCATTACCAACTTCCCATACCAGACGAGGATCTAGTTCAGTTCTTGCAGAACATATGCTCTTCCATAAAGGAGAGTCACTTGGTCTAACTATGAAACCTCTCCTGGGATCTTGTTTTCTGCCATATTTGCCAAGTAATACTAGCTGATTATCTTAGTTAGCTCTTATATATATATTCTTCATTAGTGTATGTATTCACTTCTAAACGGTCTTCGGCAAATTTATAATGAAGACGCACTTTAGGAGGTTCTGCAAAGTTGCAGCACCATATTGGCCTTTCAAATGACAAGCTGCTTGTTGCCCGTTTTAGCTCTCACTTTGGCTACTACGGGAATCAATGTTGGAATCAATTTCCTGCAGAGAGACTACGATAATGCACTTGCCAGTAAGTTCATGTGTATATATGGAGGAGGAGATAGCTGCTTTGGGTTATCTTCCATATACCATCTATTTGGACATACAGAGTTTGCTTGTATATGAGATTTTATGCTGTTTTTGTTTAATTAATTATTTACTCTAGTATGAAGTCGCAACAAGCAACTGAACATGTTTAAGTTTATTAATGCATGCAAGACAAGGATGAAGAGCAATTCAAGAAGCAACTACTTTACACCTTTCAAATGCTATGAAATTTTCTGATTTTGGAGAAAGAGAGTACGAATTCGGTACTCTCGGAATACAAAAAAAATTCCCAGAAACGTAGCTAGGAACTGTGTTTTAATAGGATTAGATGACTCACTTTTAATTGTACGTTCTATATTATAACACTGCGCTCTTTTTACGATAGGAATATCTCTACACCTAACACTGTTTACAGTGTTAAAATATATTATTTATTATATATGACAAAAAAAATAATTTATTTATACAATTTTATTTTTATGATTATTTTTTATCCATATTTTTGTTCCTGTTTGACAGGGTACACTTAAAAGCAAAAAAAACTGTGCTGCCACTATACTGAGTTTCAAGAAAAACGATTAAGCGTGCCTTTTCACCTTTCATATATAGACTCAAAAGGGAGGTTTGACTATCTTAGGGTTAATCCCCATAAAAAAAACATGAATGGGGTGATTGCGAAGATATTTTTCAATGGAGGTGGTTGCGACTATCTTTTATATTTTTACGGGGGTTGAGTTTCTCATTTTACTTGAGAACTCACTCCCTTTCTGCATAGAAGCAACGAATTTTTTTTTAACTATAAATGGGCCCCACCTAAAAAATTATGCTTGCAACAGGAGAAGTGATGCTTCCTACAGAAGGAGAATTATAATATCCTATTTTTATATGGGTTTTATTAATCTCATATTAAAGAAGATAAATTATTTCATGTGAGACAAATTTGTAGGCTCCACCATCTGAAAAAAAAAAGTGACATAATTATCGAATGATGTGTAAGAGATAAAGTTATCACATATAACATAAAAATAGTTTTTCTCTATTTATATATATTTTTGTTTTTGGTATTGACAAAATCCCTTAAATGGGTCACACCTCTCCCATACAATATAATAACCCTCATTAGTAATTGTGGATTTAGTATTGAAGAATAATTAGAAGTAAAAGAAATAAAGTCACCTTTGGTGAAAAATGAGTTAAAATGACAGTTAAGAGGTAAAAATACGGGTAAATAAAGTTATCAAAAAAGTGAAAGTAAAAATAGAAATATGACTAGAAAAATATTCTAGTCCATTGGGTAAAGTTTGGTTATGAATGGAGGTGTGTAGATAGATAAACATTTACCCAGTTGGATTTAAGTTGACCTATATAAGTCAAATTTCAAAAAAAGTTACTATTCCTTCTTATTTTCTTCTCGCGGACGACAGTGAGGGAGGAAGAGAATGAGATTTTGAAATCCAATCTTCTAAGGCTCATAACTTGAGCTAGAAAACTCCAAATCACTCCGTTCCAAAGCCAAACTTATAAGAAATTTCGAGAAGAATTCATTGGTACCAGTATTTCTGAGTGGGTTTCATTGTAGAGAGAGATCCTCCTCCTCCAAGATTTCGGATTTCATGGGTAATGGGGATTTTGATGGAGCTTGAAGCCATGGGAGCTTGAAGTAAGCCTTCCCCTTCGTTCTAGGTAAGTTTATGTTGAGAAATCTTGGTTTTCTTTTAGTTTTGAGGAAGATTGAATCTAGGTTTTCATTTTGAAAATTTGGTTTGATTGAGCATGTTAGAGCTTGATTCAAGTTTAGCTCATGTTGAGAAAAGTGTTTGGATGGGAATTTTAACGGTGAAAATGTATTTGGAAAAATTAAAGATACCGTATTTTTGAATAGTGTCGTATACGTGAATAGTGACGTATACATGAATAGTACTGTAGAGATGAACAGTATTGTATAAATGAATTAATGAATCTTGGATTAGAGGTGTGTGATAAGCTTGAATTTGATGGACTAAAGCATTGGAATCATGAAGTTGGCATGATTTCCTATATGTGTCTCTTAGCCATTTTCAAAGGAAGTATGTGCTATGAGTTACTGTTTTACAAATCGAGCATACTTTTATGCGTGGAATAATATTCTAAGGTGTATGGACCTTCGCTTTGGTGAAATAAAAAAAGAAAATAAGGTAACTCCTTTGTATGACCTTAAAATGAGTTTTAGCCATTTTCAAAGGAGGTATATGTTCGGAGATATTATTTCGCAAAGTGAGAACACTTATATGCGTAAAATAATTTATATAGGTGGCTAAGCTTGGGTTTAGGCATGAGACAAAGAGAAATCTTATAGCTCCATTGTAATGGGCATTCTGCCTTAAGTTGGGACTATCCTAAGACTAAGTGAATGTGTGAAATTTTGTGGGGATTTATTGAACAAAGAACCACCCACTCATGACTTAATATGATTAAGTAAAAAGAAAATAAACAATAAAGTGTGTGTCTTGTATATTTACATGGCATTATATCATTTTATTGAGTTTGATGTTGAATTTCTTCTCTAGGTGTACCTAGGGAATGTGAACGTTTGGATTCTCGTGGAGCATGATAAGTAGCTTGTTCTTCGAGTAAGCAAATTGTAAAGCTCCAAGAGGTAAGCTCTATGTTTATGGGGTTCGCTCCTACTTTGTGTTCCGCCATAGTGTACGGACTGTGGTCAGGTTGTATGATATGTATGAGATATATGATATAGATGCATTCATATAGAGCTATATGATAATATGATATGTTTTGTTTTGATGTATTTACTTTGATATGTGTTAATATGATATGTTTTGTTATGATATGACTTCTGTAATATGATTTCTGTAACAATATCTGGCCATTGATTGTATAGTACCCGGATGTTCGCTTTGGGGTCCTCCCTCGGGACTGATGGATCCCTTGGGAATGACTGCGTTTGTCTTTGATAATTGTTTATATGGTGTTTTGTATATTATGTATCTGACTGTCATGCAGGAAGTGAGCCCAGGGTATGGAGGGTTTTCCATAAACCTGGAGTTTACTAGAGATTCGTCTCTAACCCCGTTTGGGGATATGATTTCAGGAACACAGTTAATTGAAGAGCCTCATGGGACAAGGACACTAACCGTGGCTAGAGGTACTAGTATGAGGATGTGGAGTTCTGGGTGGTCGGATGCTACTATTTGTTTTAGACGTATTTTTGGAGAAGATGTATTGTTGCATAGTGTTCATATTCGATACTTGTACATTTATGTATTCAGGCATGATGATATGACTATGTAGTATTCAGTTATGTTATGTATTGGATTGCATGCTATTAGATTTGTGGCACGGAGCCAAGTTCAGCATGCGCCCATAGATGGGTATCTGAGTATATTTGCATGACTAGTACTTCTGGAAATATATATTGTTTAAACTGTCTATCAGGAACTCTTGAGAGTGGGATTGGAAAATCCCCAGTTGTCCGATTTACAGAGGTTACTCTGTCCGATTTTCGTCTCCGTAAAATAAGAATTAAATTAGAAGAAGTATGCAATGTGATATGTCATGTGAAAAAGGATTAAAGAAAAAGAAAAAGAAAAAGTTAGCTCGTATTTCCGCAAGTTATGTCTTCCGCTGTTTCTGTTTATATCATATGTATGTTAATTGAACCGGCTCGAGACGGGGATGTTACATACAACATTCTCAAATTGTGTCACACCTATATCCCTTTCTTTAAAAAATAAATTTCATTCTACTATTTATAAAATTCCATATTTTCACACTCACTCGTTTTAAATGAAAAATAATTAAAATTATCGATTATATCATTATTACTATTATTTATGATAATAATTTTAGTATTGATTTACATCAAAAAAAATTATACATACATAAAATTTTCTTAATTCAAAGGTTAATTAGTTTTTAGTATTGATGAAGAATTATTAATATCAAATACACTAACTAATATTTGTAATTATTTAGTGTTTGACGTTAGTAATATATATATATATATATATATATATATATATATATATATATATATATATATATATATATGAGAAAAATATTTCTCAAGCTGCTTGAGATATATTTATCTCCGATTCTTCCAAAACTACGTTGTTTTATTTATTTATTTTCTTATATTAATTGATTCATCTTTTAATGGTTATGATTCTCTTTTTCTCTCTCTTCTTTTATCTCCATTGATCCATCTTTGTACGGTTATGATTTAATGGCCAGAGATAAAATTATCTCAAACAGCTAGAGAAATGATAAGCCCTATATATATATATGTGTGTGTGTGTCTTTAAATTTCTGCATTTGTGGCAGAGAAAAAACATTTGCCACAGACACAAAAATGGGATCAACTAATATAAAAAAAAACATATTATGTACAGCGATTGTACATAGTGTGTTGTAGAAAAATATTTTTGCTACAATTACATAAATGTTTTTTCTGATATATATATGTGGCAGGATATTCTTTCACTGATGTAAGAGTTAGAAGTCTTATACCAAATCTTGATCATTGATCCACTTGTATCCAATGACTCATATTCCATAATTTTCTCTTTATGTTATGAATTAAACCTTTAGGGTGTGTTTGATACTAGGTTTTTTTAGTTTCCTTGGAAAGCATCATAGGGAAAATAACAATGCCATGTTTGGTATGAAAAAACACCAAACTTTTCCAAATAAATTTTTTTCCCGAAAATAGCTTTTGTGTGTAATTTTATGTACGGTCCGTATCAGTTGAATGCTATAGATTAGGTGGAATTTTTTGTTGCCAGGAAAAGTAAAAAGTGACCCGCGAAGGAATAGACCACTTTACCCTTTGGTTTGTACGATTATTACCCTTTGGTTTGTATAATTTCTGAACAAATGGTGTCACGTACAGAACTTTTTCAATCAAAATAAAAGTGGGGTTAATTTAGTAAATAATCCCATAATCCCCTTAATATTTCACAATCAACCAAACACAAACTCAGTAAACTTAACCACAAAATCTCGGGAAAATTTGTACCTACCAAACACCTTTTTAGTCATATTTCTGGATAACTCATTTTTCCATCATATTCCAGATAATCAAGGTTTCTGAATAAACAAAAATTTCTCCTCTACCAAACGTCACATTAAGTAACTGCCCTTAATATATTCCCAATCGATTCCTCTAAATTAATTATGGCTCAATTCCTTGACACCCTAATTCTATATAATCTTGAAAGAACCCTACTTCCCCGGTTATTCCTCAAGAAAACATGTATTAAGATCAAGAATCACAAGATTGCATAATTACCCTGTGTTTATTCCTTAAATCATAAGGACTATGATAAATTTATCAAACAAGGTTCATGTACCAACATCCATATTGTCATACAATCACCCAAAATCAATCTACAAGATCAAACTCATAGAAAGCATTAAGAAAACATAAATTCATTCAATTGTAAAAAGGAAAATTACATTAACAATTCAATTCATAAACATGAAGATTCTATTGGGTTCCATCTACCCCTAATTACAAAGAAAAATCTAGCCTAGCATAGTGGAATCAAGAAAATACAAAAACATAAAAGCTTTCCCAAACTCCATTGGTGTGATGGCGTTGTGGAACTTCAAAGCTTCCAGCATAATCTTGAATCCAACTCGCCTATGGTTAGGGGTGTTCATCAACCGATCCAAACCGATTCAAACTGCAGAAACCGAACTGAAAAATCGATAACCGAATAAACCGAAAACCGAAAAAAACCGCATATTTTAATTGGATTGGATCGGTTTTCGGATGGATTGATAAAAACCGATCCAATATATTAATTCTCCTCTACCTACTTGGTTATTTCCCCAATCATAGCCCAAAAATTTCTAAACCCAAGACCCATTAACTCATCAACTAAACCCAAGAAAAAACTTAATCACGTCTCATCAACTATAGTATTGTTTATTGATATTTTTGTATTTCAAAAAAAATAAATTACCAAGCCAATATATACAAAAGATGTTATTTGCATAATAATCATGAGACTAATTTTAGAATATTCAAAAAATCGAAAACCGATCCAATCCAAACCGAAAAAAATTGGATTGGATCGGATCGAATTTGAAAAAAATCTAAACCGAATAGATGATTACATGATCAAACCGAAGGGATTGGATCGGATGAGTTTTGCTTCCAAAATCGGTCCAATCCAGACCGCGAACACCCCTACCTATGGTACTCCAAAGCATGAAGAACATGTTTCTCTGTCAAAAACTAGTTCTCAACCGTAAAGAGTTATTCACCTCTTTTCTGATTCCTTATAAAAATAACTTAAATGAGTGTAGGAATCCTTGTTTTAGATCAAAATCGTGTAATGGGCCATAACTGGGTCGCATATGCCTATTTATAAGCGTTACCTAGTTCTTATTTCTATCTAGACGGGGCAAATTTGTATTACGAAAAAGTTCAAAAAATCCCCTATGGTTTTACTTTGAATTACTTGTCTCCTTATGCTTTTTTTAGTCACTTACCCCCCAATACTTTTTTTTCCATCCAAACTCATCATTAATATCATTAGAAACTTATATAATTTGCCTATTTACACTTCTTAGAAGAAAATAAACTGAGAACAAAAAAATAGAATAAAAAATAAGATCAAATATGTTAAAAAGTTATAACACTTTCATAAACGACTAAAAGTAAAAAAAAAAATAGAAAAAATAAATAAATCAAATATGTCTAAATAAAAAAAAAACCAAATGATAGTAGCTAAATTGGTGCATGAGAGCTGAGGAAATGGGGGTGAAAGCATGTGTTCGATCTTCTCCAGTACCATCTTTGGGAGGAATTTAAAACTTAAATCTTGAACCCACCCCGAACAGGATTGACTCCTGTGGAGGATACCTGTAGTTTATAAAAAAAATTGAGGACAAAAAAATAAAACCAAATATGTTGGAAACTTACAATAGTAATAGAAAAACTAAAAGTAAAAAAATAAAAATAGTTTAAATAAAAAAGAAAAAAAATAATCTGAAGACAAAAAGGATATATAAGAAAAAATAAGACCAAATATATCTATAACAAAAAAAAAGATTAAACATAAAAAAATAGAAAAAAAATAAAACCAAATATGTTGAAAACTTACAAAACTAATTCCTTTTTCTTTTATTTTTTGTTTGTCTTATTTTTTTTTTCAATTTCTTTTGACAGTTATAGAAAAAACTAAAGGTGGAAAAAAATGAACAAATATATCTAAATAAAAAAGAAGATAATAAACTGAGAAAAAAAATGAAAAAAAAATAACAAAAATAAGACTAAATATGTTGGAAACTTGCAATATTGATTTTTTTTTCTATTTCTTTTTTGTCTTATTTTTTTATCTATTTTTTATGCTATTTTTTTATCTATTTTTCAAACTATTTTTTTTTAATCTTTAGTCTATTTTTTTCTTGTTGATTAAAACTATTTTTATTTTTTACTTTTAATATTTTCCGTGATTATTGTAAGTTTTCAACATATTTTTGTCCTTTTATTTTTATTTTTTTTCCTCGGTCTATCTTCTTATTTTTTTATTTAGACACATTTAGTCTTATTTTCTTCTTTTTTATTTTTTTTTTACTTTTAGTCATTTTTGTAAATATTGTAAGTTTTTAATTGATCTTTTTTTTCTTTTTTGTTATCAGTTCATTTTTTCTTCTAATATTATGATGTTAAGGATGAGTTTGCATGAAAAAATCACATAGGATTTTTTAAACTTTTCCCTTTATATTAAGGCACTCCCCACTTTAAGTATATATTATTAACAAAACTCATCATATGATGTTATTAATAAAATTGAATGCTGATTAAAAAATAAATCTGTTTGCACTGTTCACGACTAATTATATATGCAGATATTAGAATAAGAAAAACACTAATTTATGAAATATATCTAGAAAGGCTTAAAATTCTTCAATAGATAGAGAAGAATTACGGATACCAAAAAAAAAAAAAAGAATTACTCCTATATAATTTTGGAGTGTTACACTTATAATATGACTATGGCCGGTTTGGTATGATATATAAGACCTGATAATATAAATTTATATTATATATTATGATATTTTTTATTATTTAGTGTGATAATCGTATAATATGAATTTATATAATAAAGTTCCTTAATACATTAAAATAATTTATAATTTAATCAAATATAAGGAGATGAGATTACACCCGATAGAAGATAGATTGATATATGATTTGAGGGATAGATTATTCTA